CTTCCCTCACCAACATGCATGCGTGCACGACCCCCCCACATGCACGTGCAACCCCCTGTGCATGAATGTGTGACACCCCCCCCGTGCCCCATTTTGGGCATCGCAGACCTCCCTGGAGCCTCTTGGGACCAAAAACGGGGTGTGGAAGGGATGTGCCACATACCCCTGCGCTCCCCTGTGCATGCACGTACATCTCCCGCATGCAGGGCACAGACCCAAAACTCAGCTGTCCGGCGGGAGACAAGTGTGCATGTGCGTGAAGCTGAGCTGGGGCAACAGCTCGCATGCCCGCAGAGAGGGTTTCGTGTGCCACAAGTGGCAAGCGTGCCATAAGTGGCAAGCGTGCCATAGGTTCGCCATTACGGGTCTAGGACATTGCATAACATTACCAGATCTCTGAATCCAGAACTGATGCAAGGCCTTACTGCAAGTTTTCACTTAGTAGTAAGAGTAACTGAACTCAGCATAAATTATTTCACACTAAGCACACTTACTGTTTGCGCTCGTGGAAACTCTTCTATTCCCTCTGAACATTTACTTACCTTATTTACTATTACGAAGCAATCAAGTGATGATTCTTTTCTGCCCAAAAGCTGGAACCAAATCATTTGTGAAGGTTTCATTTCTTCTTTTAACCAGATTACACCATCAGATGTTAACTCCACACCAGCAAGCCTGACAAGCAACAAACCATTTGAATGCCCTAAAATGATATACATGCATTGTTGTTTTATTAGAGCATTAGTGAAAACACCTCATTTAGGTCATTGATCTAAACAATTAAAGGGGAGAGATAAACTAGAATTTTGTTGTCCAAGATTTAAATGAAAGATCCTAGGAGGCAAAATTAATGTTCTTATTGCTAAAGCTGTTAATATTTTCTATGACTGAAGAAAGCTAAAAACTATTTCAGAAATCAGCTACCCAAAAGTGACTGTTCCATGCATGGAGAAACTAGAACGGGAATAATTTGCACATTTGTCTTCTTTTTCTAAATCATGGAATGACAGAAAGGACAAAGAACTGCTTCACTACAGGCTTTGAATTCACAGCATGGTGTTGATGATGACAGAAAGTAATAATAAATACCTACTTCAAGTGAGTGTAGAAAATGTTAAGTAATGTGCATTTATGTAAACTGAAATCAATTCAGGTAATCTATAAAGCAGATCTGAAAGACGTAGGCTCTGTATTTTTAGCATTATTTTTTATTCATTTTTAAAATATATATGTTGCTTCAATTACTGTTAGTATAAAAATGCAGGATAAAAATAAGTTTTTGTTTTCTGAAGCAAGAAAACACTGAAGAGATTTTATTTGATTCAAAACTTGCCCTTCAGCTCTGGTGAGTTTCAACACAGCTAAACAACAAAACATAAAACAGTACTTAAAATTCACAACAAAATAAACATTAACACTTTCTAACAAGTATAGCAACCCCCCCCCCCACTCCACATCTTCATCTATTTCCTAAACATAGAAAAAGCAAGAAGCAAATGCAACTATCCCTTCCCACACACCCAGAAATCTGAGCTTCTGACAGTGAAGGCTTCTTCAAAAGGACCTCTCCTGCTAATCTTAACAACTTGACAACCGTAACAAAAGGAACAGTCCTTAAACTCATACTCTAAACAGTTTAAGCCTTCAAAAGTCAATACCAGCATTTTAAACTGTCTCCAGAAAACATCTGGCAAGTAGCACAGGGTGGGTTTTTTTTTTTGTTATGTGTAGACATAATATACCCCATTTAACAATCTAGCTGATATATTTTACATAACTACAACTTCTGCACATTTCCATGTCATGGAAAATTCATTGGTTGTCCGATCTCATGGGACATTTTCATAGGTTGTCCCATCTTAAAGTCAGATAGACCAGATCATGAATCAGGAAGAATACAGATACTCTATGGAGGGGCTATCATAACAGAATCTTGCAAGTTCATTTGTGCAGAACCTTTTTCTTACAATCCAATGAATTAGGGAAGATCTGTTTGAGCCACTTATTTTGGACTTTCTGCTTGTTTGGGATTTAAATCATATTTTTTCCTTGTTGCTTTGGTAGCAGATCTTGCCTAACTCTGTCAAGATCATTTACCTTATTTTCTACAGGGTTACACTGCAGTAGCCAACATGGATGTAGTTAAGGCATAAATAATCACTGTCAAAACTGATGAGGCTGGGAAAGGGATGTAGTTGGCATACCACATTTAACTGTACAAAGG